AATATATAGACATGATCGAGACTATAATGAGTTTCAAAACTTGCCCATTTGCTACGAACACTATGTGGCTATATGTATGTATGTTGTATATGTAGAAAACTTACGGATGCTACTGGAACGACAGGTTGAGATGTCTCAAACAAATCTTTAGCAAAGAAAAGCTGTAGTAAAGAATAAACATTTTTTTTTTATAAACAATATTTTTATTCAAGATGTCTGAATGGGATTGGGGAACAGGCTTAGCCTATGTAAAACCCCTCGTTATAAACAGGAAAAGGGCACTGGGAAACCAGCCAAAACTGGCACGGACATGCCATAAGGCTAACAACAATATACACAAAACAATAAATAAAAATAATAACAAGTCCTAAATAAAATGTGAATGTCATCATAATTTATTAATAATAATTTTATAATATGTAGTAGAAAATGATACACAAACGTGTGTTCGGATAATTTAATGTCCGAAAATAAATGGTTTATACTCCCGATGGTATGTTATATAACTAATTTTAAAAAAACTCATTAAAATTATGAATAACTTACATCTATTACACCGTCAAGTTCTTGAAATTCCAGGGCGTCGTACGCTTCTGCCATGTTGACATACGGCCGGAAGTTACTTGTGCCTTATTGACTTTGCGCATGCGATGTACAGCATAATTGTGTCATCACCGTTATACGTCACCGAGTGGGCGTTCCCGTTAGTATTCTAGTTCTATGGTCTAATCAATCAGGTAGTCAACGATCTTGAATTTTGACATCACAGTGACGTCATAGTTCCGCCATTTTTTGTTCTGACGTCACGGTGACGTCGTACGCAAAGCCGTGTATAGGGAAATTTACGACAACTCATTTACAGGCGCCATTTTGGTGTCCCAACTATAACGCCATAAAAACTATGACGTCATGGCGTCATATAGCTTTACTTAACAAAACGTTTTATTTTTTTCTTGGTATAACGTTTTACGGGCTACAATTCATCCTAAACAATTTGCAAAAGAAACCAATGCAGTTTGGTTCAATGATAAATATGTCAGACGAAATCATACTCAAAATCGGCCAAAATGACATGATTAACAGAATTCAATTGGGTGTTCTTCAGGAATTTTCGGAGAGCGATATCTCGTAATCAGAGTATTTTAGTGGTGGTGGGGGGGGTGTAAATAATTTCTTTTTAAATTCTTCAAACACAGAGTGGTTATGCAAGCGAAATGTGTGGAAAAATTGAATTTGACAAACATCAATAAAAAAAATGTATTTGTCATTTGGTGGCGGGCATTTCTTTCAATATGACTGCCAAATTTGGTAAAAGAATATCACTTTAAAAAATAAAAATAAAAATGAAAAAAAAAACAACATTAATTTGGTAATAAAAGGGCAGATATAATCTCAAAAATTTAATTTCGAGAAATCTTGATGGTAGAAATTCACAATGGCTGGCAAAATGAAATCCAAATTGGTGGAATTTTAATTAATCGTCATTTCTTTCCGCTGGGTATGACTTTATGTGGTATATTAATCCCGAAATGACATAGTTGCTCTTAAATGAATATATTGTTAACGCGCTTTAAACATCAAGATGCAATAGACTTGGTGTGAAAAATTTTAGGTACATTGAAATGTTGGCAGTAAAGATAATATCATAGTTTTTAGTTACACATTGTTAACCAACCGCCCATAGATCCTTTAATGATAATAAATCATATACTTTATTCAGCTCGAAGCAATATTTAAAATGATTAGATGCAGTTCGTTTAACTTGAATGTAGATATTATATCTATGTTGCATATATAGGACCTTTCCGTTGAAACATATCATAGAAGTATCTTATTTCATAGTTTTACGTATTTGTCGACATTATAAAGGTGTACTTGTTCTATTGTTCCATTCAGCCTATGTATTTTCTTGTTTCACTTGACTAAACAACTAAACAAAAAATTTTGTAGGAATGTATAGAGGCTTTTATAGATTGAACAAAAAGCTGATAAATATTGAGATGTGTGGAACATGTTCGGGGCGATTTGTAACAAATCTCAGACACGATATATATTTGATACTAGTTGAGCATCAGAACAACATGATTATTTCATTGGAAATGGGGCGCAAATAGCCAAAAGAGTCGGATAAACTCTAAACCAACTGCGTCTCCTTCACTGGGCCCCTTCAATGTCTGTCTACCTGTGGAATAACATGTACATTATTTGTATCTGTTAAATTTGTGCGGTTTATATATTAGATTAATATTATTATTTACTCATGGGCGGGGAGTGATAACGTCTTACCCCAAACAAATTGCAAAAGAAACCAGAAAGTTTCGGAGAGCGATATCTCGTATATCAGTAATGTCACTGATGAAATATATGCCCGAGACACATGTCACGCTTTATTTAAATTTTACCGATTTTACACCGATTTTAAAAATATTTATCCATTAGTCAATTTAAAGAAATTTCTATTTTCGAAAAATTGATGATACAATTAATGATCGATGACAGAAAACTGACACACAATCCGGAATGACTCCAGACCAAAAATCATGGAATTTCAGGCATTTATTTTGCCGGCTAGAAGGCAAAAAGGTTGTATCTCCCAAATTACTATTTACATTTACATTTTTCACTTTACCCGTCTGCACAAAAAATCTGATTTTTAAAAGCGTATGCAATTTAATAGCGCTTTTATTTGGTGTATCTTTTATTTCACTTTCTTACGAATTAGACTATTCTTATAACAATAATGTGCGCTTTCTGCATAATAATAATAATAATAATAATAGTTTGTTTAGCTATACTTTTCGTTTAAAAAATGTATTCGATGACACATATCTATATACATCCTTGTCGGGGGCAGCCAACTTCGACACAACAATATGATAGGACATAAAATAGATAGTGAGTAGGTACAAATACTTGGGACCCAAGATGGCGTCTTACTACACTTGAGGTCATATTTTCTTGACGTCATATGAAATTTCTGGCTTCACAGTTGTCGCAACTTTATCTATATACGGCTTTGGTCGTACGTTACTTTTGACGTCATTTCTGGATTCCTTGGTATCACTTTCCTATATGTTGATAATATATTTCTAGGCTGTAAAATTGATATTTTTGAAGTTATAAATGGTTTTCATTTTCATTATGTTGACCCAGGGATGAAAAGTTCAAAGTGCTGTAAAAATTTTCGCTCAACTCCGATCCGCGGGGAAAATTTTTCTGGAACACTAGGGACATAGTTGTTTCAGAAAGTGAAGAAATCATTTGGGTAGGAATTTCTTCCCACAAAGCTGGATTTGTCACCTTCTCCAACCAGCCTATATGGAGGTCGGGTGTTCGATCCCTGCATTGGTCGAGAAAGTTCATCCAGATTGTTCAGCGTGGTTCAATCTGAGTAAATATTAGCCTGGATTAAGACCGTGAGAAATTTGGTATTTTAGTGAAAATGCAATTAAAGCATCGTTATTTTAATGAGATGTTATGTTAAAATCAATAAAGTTTATCAATCGATATAATCAATTAATCGTTTCAGCAAAGACTATCTTTTCATTTAATAAATATTTAATGGCTAACATACCATTTTACCAGATTAAGTTAAACATACATTATGCAATAGCTAAATCTGTCTATTGCAGGTCTTTCTTTAGGCCTGAAATGTTTTCTAAAGTATTAATTGGACATTAATTAACTGATCCAGGCCTTAATCAACTCTCGATGGCATCAGATTTCTCCGATATTAAATAGATTAGAATGGTTCAGCGATACTTTGATTTAATCAAATATGAAGGACCGAGACTTAGCTTCGATCAACCAGTACGGTGGTTGAAATTATTGTACACGTCTGTCAAACCTTCAAAGGCTAATATCTTCGCTTGCAATAGAGTAATTTGAATGAAATTTTCAAATTATTCATTTTACATCATCTACTTTCGAACTATTATAGCACGAATGGCTAGTTCTTTATCTAAATCATACATAATGTATCTTTAATATTATCTAATAAAAGCGTAGCTTTTTGATTTTGCGAAGTAAATCGGCTGCATGTAGGAAAAATAAATACGCATTCAAATATACCTTACCAAGGCCAGAAGAAAATTGTACATTCGAACCTCACCCAGGATATTAACCTCGATAATACAGCATGAAATATAGGCACAACACACATAAGCGCAAAGGCCCCGAACTCGATGGGAATTTGAAGGTGATATTCACACGTAAAGGCCAATTTGACTGGTCAAGGCCAAACAGTCGTTTATAGAACAAGATGGCTTAGCGCATAAATGGAAATATACGAACATTATTATGAAACAGCGCTAGACAGGAAGCCTAGTGTGTCTGAAGAGGTCTTAGTTTCTTGCTATGCAAGTCTAAATAGTCAACCAACAAAATGGCGGATAAACGTATCTCAAACCAGAAACTTAAAAGTTCGGTAAAATGAAAAGTCCTTGATCGATTCGGCTGAAATTTGATGTGGGGGCATCGCGAGCCCCCCTGAACATCCCCTGACAATGGCAAGTCAATGGTAAAGGTGCGAAAGTTCAATGACCCCGCTCCATGGCTATACTATTCAAAAAAAGTAGGGGATATTTGATTTTTAAGTGTTATTAAAGTGCCGATCTGTAGCATGCCAAGGGCACGTAACCTTTCATTTTGGGTAAGCCGACGCATATCAAAATTTGTTTTCTGGTCACTAAAACAATTAAACTGATGTTTCCACCCTGGAATTCAATGCCACAATGACTGTAACATTCAAAGTCAGAGTCGTGCAAATCTTGGGTTGGACCCCCATGATGATCCCAAGCATCACCTGCATTCCATGCGGTAGCTATTGGTGCGTTTGGGCGTCACATGTAACTGGAAATGTTTCTTCTGTTAGATTCTATAGTGACTTTTTTCGTAGTCATTTGCATATTTTAGTATTATGCCCCCAAAATCAAATATCCCCTACTTTTTTTGAATAGTATATATACATGTACATAAAAAATATGTTAATAATGGTCTACCTGATTCGAATATAAAGTATTTGTAGCCCCACTTTTACTCCTACGTATCCATTCATTCGATTCGATTCTGATGTTAATTTTGACAATGATTGACACTCTACATGTTTAGTAGAATATATCGAGGTTTATTATAGTCACTATAATATTTGTCAACTAGACACCGCGTAAAGCATGTAGTCTTGACTGTCTATGTCATCTGTTTTTACTTACCTTGGAGTGGATAGACATCGGTAATATAGACTCTATTTTAACAGGTTTTTTTCACCTCGAGGCATCTTTTCCGCTTGACTACACCCATTGTTATACGTCACGTCCACATTCTGTGTGTGTGTACGAATCAGTTGAATATTTACAGAGATTATACAACATGATACAAATGAGTCCTGGCCAACATAGGCCTATGAGACACTACAGATAAAACATTAAATGATATGATATATAGCAATAAATACCGGTAAAACAATTAATTACGTAATCACATTTATTGAAAATATCTATTCAAAATCATAAAATTCCATACTATATCCAAAACTATAAGGCAAAAATAGAGCTAAAACAAAGTATGTATATAAAATACCTATTCTAATAATAGAATTTCATCCAATATGTTAAAAAAACAATCATAAAAAATTATAAAAGTAAACGTTTTGAGTCAATCACAGAATTTAAAACTCTACAGTGTTTTTCAGGATGTTTCGTCTATTTTTCATTTTGTCTAAGAAAATTCCAATATGGCATTCAATGGGATTTATTAAAATATATAGAAACTGTCATATGTGGCTAAAAGATTAAAATCTTGATTTTTTAACTTTAATAAAAGTTCTGATCGTAGGTCATTGTAACACGGGCATTGGGCTATAAAATGGAATTCATCTTCAATCAGGTTTCTATCACAAAGTTTGCATAGTCTTTGTTCTAGTGGAGTTGGGGGGGGGGGGGTGTATATCGGCCAGTCTCTATTGCGATCGGGAAAGAACCACTTCTCAGGTGACATATCAATCTCCTTTGGTATCTGACTACATGTATATACTTCTTATCTTTACCAATTTCTTTTAAAACAGTTCTCAAATTTGATTCCTGCCTAATTTCTTCTACTGACTTGTCATTTTCAATATAAACACTATTATAGGTTGGCGCGTCTTTCAAACATCTTTTTCTTTTCATAACCTTGAGTTTGTTATCAGGGTTAATTAAACTCACTGTGACTAATCCTGGTTTGGTGTTTCGTGAAGTTGGGGTGCGTTGGTGGTGAACTCTACTCTTTAGTTTCTTTCGCTCAACATGACTAATGTTAATGTTCGAGAGTTGAAGACGTCCCTGACTAATTTATTCACTTTATCCAACAATAACTCTTCAGTTTCTCCTTCGCATGTTTCTAAGTTTTGAACTACGAAGTTAATGATCTTGATCCCTCTTTTGTCACACTTTCCAAAACTTTAAATTTATTTTCAAAATCTGTCCTTACTTTCACTATCTCTGAGTCTATTTGTTTTTAAACAGTTTCCTTCAGATCCTCGCCAGTCTTCTTCTCTAGACGGCTCAGCTAACTTTTCAATTTAGCATCAATAATTTTTGAGTGTTTATTTTCTAGATTTTGCACCATACTTTCAGTCAACTGGCGATGACTAAGACTTATCTTAGAGTTTATTTGAGTGCCTAGTTCAGCAACCATGCTAACGAGTTGATTAAATTGTGACGTTTCAGCTTTACTTTTTTATACATTTTGATTTCTTAGCGTTATTATCTTCTTTCTCTTCATTAAAAACGCTATCTTCGTGTGTTCTCTTCTGACTACACAGTCTTGTAGAATGAGTGTGACTAGTTTCATCAGCAAGTGTAGTTGGGGTCACAGTGTTTGTCATCACATCCTTTACATACGATTCAGAAGTCGATAAATCCATTGAATCGGGGATATCCATTGATTGAACGAAATTATCCATATTTATGTTACTATTTTTTTGTCACTAATCTGTAATAGATTTCTTTCATATTTAATGGAGATATGCAATATAAGCTATTTAAATATGGCGCGACTCTTAACTTTTTTTTGTTGCACGGATGGTTGGGTGACCCGAGCACTTCAATTTAGCTGAAGAGGTGTTGACTGTGCAAAGACGAATTTCTCAATGAAGACGAAACAGGCCCGGGCACTCTGGGAGCACATGCACGGGGCAAATATTCACTATATAGGCCATGCACGTGGTATTGTCACAACATCAAATGGTAAATAAAGACATGTTAAAAAATATTCTCATCACGCGTTTGTCTTAAGATATTATTGGATCGCTAACTACGTTAAAAATTCTAAAAATTATTGTCGTTTTTATTTTTCAATTTCGCTATTTATTTACAGAGTGCTGTCGTTTAGTTTCGGCGATTTCACATCTCCCAATTACTCGTGTTCGGCAAGATAAGAGTACAACCGGTATTTTTCTTTTAATTTTGCAAGGTTCGTGAAATAGTCGTTGAATTGCCCAAGACGACTTTTGCCAAGTTAGGAAATTTAACAAATTGTTTCGTATTTTAAATTTGCTACCTGGAATTAATCAAAACGAAAGGTAGCCTCTATTGACCAGATTTACTGTTCGAGACTATTTGCTTTTAAGGTTAAGGGGAAACAAATATTTTTTTGTTTTGTTTAGGTATTGACCGACGGACTCGTTTTAATTTTTTGTCAATCGATTCAATGAATTACTATCCAACATTGGTTTGGGCGATCACTGTGATCTTGGTACAATAACTAAACTTCCCTTTGTAATAATTACAAAAGCTATAGTACTAGGAATCATTAATAAATTTCCGACCAATACAGAGCACCAGTCTATAATTACTGCTTTACATGACGACAGCGTGACGTTTCATGAAAACGGTATTTGAAGTAGGCTGGTCAGACTGAAAACAAGGAGTAATGGTATCTTAATAAAATTATACCCCTTTTTCCCCGGGATAGTGGACAAGACACCATCGGCAGATACCAGCACGATACATTTAATAAATAGAGAGACACAGACATCTGTCGATGCTACAACTTTGACCAAGTTAAATAGAAAAAAAAAGAATTTATTAAGCAGGATCAATAGGTATACAAAAACAATTTTGCGTTTAAAAAATCGACTAAGGAAGACCTCAAAAGAATTGATTCGCGCGAAGGCTAATAATAATAAAGTTTTGGCAAATAAAACAGCTGGTTGTAAGTCCCAACCTCGTGGGGAAGACGTAATTTTGTATGATGTCGAAAATCAAAGATACACTTCAGAATGCCATAATTTCGTCATGCAACTAGAAAACCTCAACGTTTCCGATAGGAACGTCGACGCGGTTATAACCGCATGTTTGGCTGTCGCGGGACTCAAATCTAATTATATTCCAACAAAAACTACAGTTCAAAGAATATCATGTGAGCGCGTCGATGTATCTTTAAAACATGTTTCGGAAACCCTAAAGTCAGCGAAAAACACCACTTTATATACGGACGAAGCTACAAAATTTGGCTCTAAATTCGGTACATATGCAATAACCGCTGACTCAACTCATACGCCAATTATTATTGGTCTTCGAAATATGGCTGATAAATCTGCGCAGCAAACTACTCTTACAACTTTAAATGAAATTTTGGCAGATCTTGATGATGTAGCTGGGCCCATTAGTAAATCTGTTATTTTCGAAATTAGAAATACAATGTCAGACAGAGCCAGCACCGAAAAGCTTTTTAACACTTTATTTGCACAGTATAGAGGCAATGTTTGTTCTAAATTAGTAGAAAACTGGTCAGATTTATCAGATTCAGAGCGAAATATTCACCTAAATATAAATCATTTCTTTTGCGGTCTTCATCTACTAACTGGGTTGGCCGATAAAAGTGCGTCTGAATTTAAGAAATTTGAGGAAATGCATTTTAAAACGTATTCGGCCAAACGTTTAAAACCGCGTCTTCATTTTTGCCAAACGAACATGGGTGTGTTCGTTTGATTCGGACCATCTGTAAAGCCTTTACACAGGGTGGGGACGAAAAGTCGGGTTGTTATTTACCTTTTAAGTTGTATCTCAAGTCCCTTGGGATTTCAAAATTACCGCTAACGCCATTTCATGGTAACCGGTTTAATATAATTTTCCACAATGCCGCAATTGTAAATTATATGGCCAAGCATATAACAAATTTTCTTAGTGATTTTGGAACAGAAAATAGATTGACCTAAAGCATGTTTTTAGATATTAAAATTCCGCTATTTCATATCGAGTGCCAGGCTTTGGGCTTGATAGATAAATTAATTACTGCTCCACTTTGACGCATATTAGAAAGCGGCATTAATGCACTTGACACGAAAACTATTTATCAGAAATGACATGATTTTTTCGAAAACCCGAATATTCAAAACTTTGTGGAAGGTAAATCACACCCATTTGAATCCCTAATCAAAATTGAAAACGAGTCGGTCCTTTCTAACCTGACGAAAATTAATTCCGATTTAACTCTTAATACAACCCTGATCCATGTTTTGAAAGTCCTCTTTGCCGAGTTCAGAAAGTACATTGCAAAAATTTTACTTGAATATCGAGATGACTTTAATCCTTCGTGTTCGAGTTCTGCCATGCCTCACAACAAATTACCAGAAATCGTGTTCAGTCATCTCGATAGAGTAATGAGGATCGCGCCCTCGTCTAATATTTTTGGCAACGAAGCGTCCATTTTATATAAAATGAATAAATCTGATGAATGGCTAAAAAATCTTTCACCTGTTAAACGTAATTTGGTCTTAATGGATGCTCAAACGATAACTAAAAATCAACTTTCTAAAGACGGGAAGAAATCGAAAGAAAAAAGCTAGCGGTGCTTTTAGCGAAAAAGAATGAATTAATAGAAAAGGGGAAACGTGAGATTAGGAGAGAAAAAAGCCCAACAACAGAAATTGTCGGCGTGGGTCTTTGGAAAAGTAAAGAGGGTATGGAATATGGGCTTTTACAACTTACAGATAGGGAAATGAAATAGGCACTGAAGGCACAGCTCCGGTTTCGTAGGTATGTTTTAAATCAGCAAGTTTCCAATAAGTCTATATTTTATTTTTCTGTCGCCGTAAGGAACACTCGATTCCAGTTTTAAAAGAAAATTTGCAAAAATTATTTGACCTGGCTGATCCTACCTAACCGAAAAAAATTTTCAATGCCCCTTT